GCTGAGGCGGAAGGATCGCCGGAGCCCAGCAGGTCGAGGCTGCAGTGGCTGGGAACGGCCGCTGCACTCCAGTCTGGGCGACAGAGTGAGACTCTAACTCAAGAAAAAAAAATCAAATTCTGAAATTATCTGCTTTCTTCTTGCTATCACAGATGAGAATTTAACTCTGCTTATCACTCCTCAGCTCCTCTCCCGCTATACTGTTACATAACTAGCATTAGATAGATCAATGTAGGGCTTACATTATGAAAACTATGTAAATAGCGTCCATTACAGAACCAAGTAGTACACAATGAATAGATTTTTAAACAAATATCATTTTTCCTAGAGTTGCTAGGAAACTTTTATTTTTTGCAAGGTCTTCCTTTTTATGATAACTTACTTCAGTCTTGGCTGGCTACTCCATCTATCCATTATTACCTGAATCTCCCAAAGTGTCAAGTATAACCTTTAGGTAATTGGTCAAGGACATAATTGGAAGAGATTTGAGGACATCGCATTAAGTGTGAATCAAACAGTGAGGAAGTTAATTCCCTTTCAGTTTTCTTTTGATCCTCATGTCCTTCTTAGAAACTGTTATTTTCTAAGTCTTGATCCATTCCCATGGACTCCCTTCTGAACTCTCTCCTTCAGCTTCCTCCACCGACTTCATCCATGATCACAGTTCTCACTCCTTCATCTTTCAGAAATCTGTTGATAGTTCGTTCAACATTTCACTTACTCATTTAACACACATTTATTGAGGTCCTGCTATGAGCCAGGCATTGGTCACTGCTCCAGACACCTGAGACACATCAGTGAACAAAACAGCATTCTACTGGGGAAAAGTAGACAATGGAGAAAAACATAAAAAAGTAAACTTCCAAGCATGGTGCCTCATGCCTGTTAATACCAGTGACTCAAGAGGTTGAAGTGGGAGGATTACTTAAGACCAGGAGTTCAAGACTGCAATGAGCTAGTATTGGGCCACGGCACTCCATCATAGTCAACAGAACAAGACCCCAACTCTTTTTTGTTTTGTTTTGTTTTTGCTTTTGTTTTTTGAGGTGGAGTCTCACTCTGTTACCCAGACTGGAGTGCAGTGGCCGCTTCTGGCCACTGCAGCCTCGACTTGCTGGGCTCCGGCGATCCTTCCGCCTCAGCCTTTCGAGTAGCTGGAATTACAGGCGCACGCTACCACACCCGGCTTGAGGACCCCAACTCTTAAAAAAAAAAATTATAGTATGTTGTAAGTGACTAGCTCCAAGGAGAACAGAAAGGAATGTTAGGTAGGGCAAGGGAAACTAGGAGTTCAGAGCCATGAAGGTAGCCCTCCCTATGAAGTAAGATTTCTGTAAAGAAGAGGAGATGGGGGATTTGGTTGTGTGAATGGCTGGGAAGAGTATTCTAGACGGAGGGGATAACCAGTGCAATGACCCCAAGACAGGAACGTGACCCATTCCATTCTATACATTATGGGCTGATGATTTAAAAAACATTTATTCTCATTTGATGGGGGCAAAATGTCCCAAACCTAGGGAGACAGGAGGTAAATTCACGAGGTCAATCTGACACCTTGATCCTGCAGACTTATTTCTAGGTCTTTGAAACCACAGGGTGAGTAGGTGGTGGATTTGCTTTTCTCCTTCCAAGAACCTACAAGTATTTTGTATCTTTTTTATTTTGATTTTTTTACAGATTCTCCTTGTAGGAGGAAATTCTTAATATAATATCTCCTTTGTAAATTAAGAAAATTGAGAACCAAAGAGAATATGGTTTACTCAAGGAGCAAATGATGTAATGACAATGGATACTCTGACTTTATCTATCCAATCTCTGCATCTCACTCTATCACCACTACAATTTTAAACGGAAAAATATAGAGAGAATGTTAAAAGAGAAATAGTATTTTATTTTTACTAATTGATTTACTTTTTAACAAATGTGCATTTTTTAAACAAACATTTACTGCACATCTACCATAGATGGATTAATTACTAAAACCATCAAGGAACCTTGTAGACCTTGATAAATAGTCTGAATTTCATTCTAAGTGAATTGGAATATATTGGAGAGTTATTGATTAGAATTAGTATTGGCTGTATATAACAAGGACCCAGCTAGAGTGGCTGAAGTTTGTTTCTTACTAAATTTATTTCTCTCATGTAAAATGCTTGTCTCTGGGTCTAGTATAGAGACTTCATGATCATCAAGGAGCTTGGTCCAAAACAGCTGCTGGAGTTCCAGGTATCATATTCACATTTAATGCCAAAAGGAGGGAAAAGAAGTCAAAAAATGAAAGAGGTGCTCCCTCCCTTTTCAGGAAATTTTCTAGAAGTCCGACCCAATATTTCCTCTTACATTCTTTTGACCAGAACTTTCTAGAAATACCACCTGAAGTTTTTTCTGTATTTGGGGATCCTTAGAATTATTTTCTTTCTTGTAGAAGGAGAGAGTAGAGAAGACACAACCATCTCAGTCCCGGGAGTGACATCTATCACTTCTGATCTAACTTCATTGTGAGAACTAAAAATGTGGCTTAATCCAAGAGGCAAAGGGAACTGGTAAATGTAGTTCCTGGCTGTACAGCAACAATCTATATCGTGAAAATGGAACAAGAATCTTTGGTAGATACCAGATGTCTTTACTATAGAGAACATTTCAACAGCTTAAACTCATCTATTTGTTTATTTTCTAGCTGAAGAAGAGATCATCTTTTCTAAAGCAGAGATTCCTAAGAGATCTGAGTTATTTTCTGAAAATCTCAGGTACAGGCACATATAATTGTTTACGAGGTACAGCATAAACAATTGGCATTAAATTCAAAACACTGTCAGAATCATTTGTCTAGTCAGTACTTTTGGCCTCTTAGGAACAGTGGGGAAACATCAAGGGGTGTGTAGATGGTGAGTTTGGTCAGTAGTATCTACATTAGGTTATATCTTGCTCTTTTATTCGTTTTTAAAATATGTTTTCATATCAAAAGCTACACTACATCTATAAGTTATTACTCCTGTTTTTTTCTGCATTTGGACAGCCCTGAAGAAATAAAAGAAAACATTTTGAATTTCTTTGACGCTGTTATAACAAAAATGAAGACATCTGAGGAAAACATTTTTCCCCTGGAATCTTGCCAGTGTGAGGAAATCCTAGAGATTGTCATCTTGCCTCTGGCCCAAAATTTTCTGGTTTTGGAAGAAAACAGCAAAGCCTTGTATTACTTTTTAGAAATTGTATCCGCTTATCTCATCTTGGGTGATAACTATATGGTAAGTTGTTACTACCCAGACCTCTTCTACCTTGAAGACAACTCATAGACCACAAAGCCAGAAAAGAAGTTCTAGTGTGCTTGTTTATTACTTCATGTTCTTGATTCCTGACAACATTTTCCTTTGAAAATCACATTGCTCAGAAGGGACATGATCTAAGATTGAGAAAAGAGAGTTGGAACAAATTGCAACTCGTATTTACACATTAATTAAAATATTGCTACCTTTACAAACTTGCCATGAATTGTCTACCTGTATGGGAGGCTGGGGGTCATATTTCACTCCAAAAATTATGCAAAGAGGACTTTTAGCATGGCCTTCCACAGTAACATTCAAGTGGCATTTGCCCTCTATCATCCCCAAATACCTGTGAGCACAAAATATCTATCTATAGGTCTTTCAATAAGTGCAATTCTTATTTTTCTTAATTTGAACTGTGTGATCCCCAAAGAGGCTCTCTCGCTTTCTACCTTCCCAAGATGGCCCAGTAAAGGAAATAGGGGGTAATTCATAACTCATTCCCAAAGTAGAGACCTGCTTCTCAGAGCTGTGGGGATTGCTGTCAGAAGCAGTGGGTTCATTGTTGGAAACAGGAAGTTTAGGATGGAATTACTGAGAAGAGAAAATTGCTCGGGGAGAAACTTCAGGTAAGGCAACTTACGTGACAGCATGAGGGAAGGCGGAGACGTCTAGATTTATCTTCTAGGTTGAGTGATCTGGCAGACAAAGGTTGGGATGAAGGTGGGGGTTCCTGTCTAGAATTTGAAAGCCCATTCTGATCAGTGGAGCAGGGAATAGAGGTGGGGGTGGGACCTAGAGTGGCTCCTGCTTCTCTTCCTTCAGGATGGTCTGGGCAATTGCTCCTCTGTGGTCTCAGTTCTGGCCAAATGAACACTTTTCTACTCTTTGGGCTGGTTGCAGGCATACAGGTATTTGAATGAGGGAGAAAAGTTGCTGAAAACTCTTGAGAAGGAAAAATCCTGGAGTCTGAGATTTGAGTCTGCCACCTTTTATAGCCTCAAAGGTCAGGTAAGAAACCACTGAAGGTCTGAATTCATCTGTCATTTGTCTTCAGTCTCTCCATAGAAGAAGTAGAAGTCACCCCTAGAACTTTCTACATCCTCCTTCCATCTCTTGCCAGATTCCTACTCAAGACTCTAGAGCCCCAAGCCCATGAACTCAAACTCCTCACCATGGCTTACCAGAAGCAAGACCTTCCCTGTCCTCCAGGTTGACATCTTTATGAAATATTTTTTGGCTGGACTCATTGACTCAAAGTACTGTAATTCCAGTACTTTAGAGGCCAGGGCAAGTGGATTGCCTGAGCCTGCAGGTTCAAGACCAGCCCGGGCAACTTGGCGAAGCCTCATCTCTATAATAAATCAAAAATTAGCCAGGCATGGTAGCACACACCTGTAGTTCCAGCTACTTGGAAGGCTGAGGTGGAAGGATCACCAGAGCCTAGCAAGTCAGTGCTGGGGTGGCTGTGAGTGTGCCACTGCACTCCAGACTGGGCAACGGAGTGAGACTCCAATTCAATATATACATATATATATATATATTTTTTTTTTTTTTTTTTAACAACCTCTAAAAATGGACATGAATGGGTAAACATTTTCTTAGCGGTAGATGATGTACAGCTGAGATGCTAAACCCTAGTCATTCCACCATCCTCCATGTAGCCATCCAATAGACATGTATTATTATGCCAAGCACAGGAGGATTTTTTTCTGGGCCATAGAATACAATTTTTGATAAGAATTCCCCAAACATGTATTGTTGGAACCTACTAAGTCCAGAATCTCATCCCCTCCTGTCTCTTTTCCCTCCTGTCTCCCCTCTTCCCTATAGGTCTGTTTCAATATGGGCCAAATGACTCTTGCCAAAAAAATGCTGAGGAAGGCACTGAAGCGCCTCAACCGAATCTTTCCTAACAACATAATCTCCCTGGTTTTCCATATCCATGTTGAGAAAAATAGACGCTTTCATTATATCAACCAGCAGGCCCAAGGGAACTCACCTCCAGGGTAAGGGAAGGAGCTGGGAGAGTGTCTCATTTCACTCCCCACAGGAGAGAGACCTACACAAGGTAGCCCCCAAATCCTGAACCTCCAGGGGGCTCTTCGGGCTCTGACCACACATGGGGGGGGGAGTGGTTTGGGAGGTGCTCCCAGGCCAGGGCAGGGTTGCCCCCCGAGGAATTTACAGACAGTTTTTGCAAAGGGAGTCCAGATGACACAAACATAAGGGATCCCTTTGTGAGGTGAGTTCCAGGGCCCCCTACTCATATAACCCATTAAGCTCCCAGCCCTCCGTGTTCTGAATGGAGCCTGCAACCTCAGTCACAAGCCCTCTTCCATTCAGTGCTCCAACCCTGGGTTTTGTCCCTGAACCAAAGAAAAATGACAAGCCCTGAATACATCTGTCAAAAGACCAAACTCCTCACCCATCCACATATCTTGATAGGGATATGGATTACATAGGGGTTCCATGGGTCGAAATTTTACTGGCAATATTTGTGCGTTTTGATGTATACATGTTTTACCTGTACAATAACTATAAAAATCATACTGAGGGGGAAGAAAGAGTGGAGAGGTGGATGAGATAAGAACTTCGATGGTTGATGAAGCTAGCTGTTGCATACATGCCGCTCATTATACTCTTTCCTTTATGATGTTTGAATTATTCCATAATAAACGTTTTTTTAAAAAGGTCCCACTATCTATCAGTTCAGACTAAAGGAGATGCCACCTTGTTGGGAATCCAGAGAGCTGACAGAGAACATCCCACCTTGGGAGAGATGGATAGCAATATTCCCACAGGTTCTACCTAAGATATGACGTCGATTCCTGGGAGCAGTTGCCACAGCTCCTTCGCAACCCACCAAAATGGCCTCCCCTGGCTTCCAGAAGTGTCCCTTAAATGTGGGGCACATACGGAGGTGGAGAGGAAATGAGATGGGGCTGAGCACCTTTGCAGGTTGGAGGTGGGCTTCTGGGCATACCTGCGGGCTTCCAGAGACACTGACTGGCAGGGAGGAATGTGAGAAGGTCACAGAGGTCTCTCTGAGAGAGGAAGAAGGCAGGGCGTGCTCTCTGGGTTACCCTAAGGGTTGTCAGCTGCAATACAGATGCCTACTTCAATCTGAATTTCAGATAAACAATGAATAATTTTTTAGCACCTATGTCACATGAAATGTTTAGGACATATTCGTTGTTTTTAAATTCACATTTAACTGGGCATCCTGTATTTTCATGTGCTAAATCAGATCGTTTGCACATTTTACAGTTGAAGAAAGGAGTAAGAAGTACCCGCACAAGGGGAAAAACAGAAAAGTGTGAAAGAGGGGAAAACTGCAACGCTGTTGGCTTAAAATGCCCGTAGGTCAAAAGTTTCTCAGCTCAGAAATGAGGACAACAAGGAACAACATTTACTGTCACAGTGTCTACTTCCCTCATGAGCACCCTTTATTATAAGATATTTAACCCTGTCCCGTGGTTCCTTGGAACCTTTAAAAAGTTGGCTGGGCTTGGTGGTGCATACCTATAATCCCAGCACTTAGGGAGGCCTAGGCGGGAGGATTGCTTGAGCCCAGGAGTTCGGGACCAACCTAGGCTACATAGCAAGGCCTCATCTCTACAAAAAAATAAAATAATTAGCTGGATATGGTGGCAAGCACCTGTAGTCCCAATTACTCAGGAGGCTGAGGCAGGAGGAACTCCTGAGCCCAGGAGGTTGAGGCTGCAGTGAGCCATGATGGTGCCACTGCACTCCAGTCTGGGTGACAGAATGAGACCCTCTCCCCACTCAAACAAACAAACAAGCCAAAACCTTTTAAAGTCATTTCCACAATAGAATCGATGTCATTAATGTCGCAAATGAAAGCACCTGGAATTCTTCCTTAGCATCTCTGATATCTCTTTCCTCTCTTCTTAGTGTTATTTAAAATCTACCCTTTGGGTGGAATTGGAGACAATCATTCTTAGCAATCTATCATAGAAATAACCAAATACTACATGTTCTCACTCATAAGTAGGACCTGAATAATATTACATTAATCACTTTAGCACAAGGGAGGGATTAGCAGTCGAGGGGTACTGCGGAGTGGGGGCGGGCAGGGGAAGGAAGGCAGAGGGGGCATGTAACAGCACAAAGCGTCCCTGATCCTAAACCAGGGGAAGTGAGGACCAGTTGGAGGCCCAGACTTCACCTGCATGTACATTACTTATGTCCATAATCCTGATTTGTACCCCACATCTTTATAATAAAGTAAGAAAAAATGCTACCCATTAAGAAATATTTCTAATTACACTTTTTTCTTTTCTTTTCTTTTCTTTTGTTAAATGACTAATAATGCAGTCATCTTGTTCAGGTTCCCATTTTTATCACACACAGAGGAGAGTTTTGGCTACATTATCAGTTAAACGGCCTGCTTAAACTGGGACTGAGAGCCCAGATGTTTTCCATGGAAGATCATCTATCTTCTCCTCAAATGCTTCCAGCATGGATGTTTACCTCCCACGACATTTCATTCTATTGTTGGGATGTAGTTGTTAAAAAAACGCTCATTTCCATTGTTGAGCTGAGATCTATTTCCTCAAAGCAGCATGCAATGAAGGCAATCATATCTTGGACTGGTCGGGCTGGAGGTGGACGGGGCCTGAGTGCTGGCATCATCACCTTCTAGCTGTGTGACTTTGAGCTAATTACTTAACCTGTCTGATCTCTCCTTTCTCCTATGTAAAATGGGGTTCATTATTCCTTCCTCACTTACAGATTTAATGAGATAAATGATATCACTGTGCTTCATTCATTAGTCATTACCTAACACGAGACAGGTGTTTTACCTAAACTATCCTACTCGTAATAAAGTAGACATTATGGTCCCCATTTTACCATGGAGAAAATATGCTTCATAAAAATTAGTGCACTTGCAAAGACAGAAACAACTGACGCTGGACACTGCTAATGGGGGGTGGGACAGAGGGATCAGGCCCAGAGAACCCACCCATAGGGTACCATGTCCACTACCGTGGGAGAAGAGGGCTTGTGAGAAGCCTAAACCTCACCTGCACACAATTTACTTATGTAGCAAATCCTCACATGTATCTTATGACTAAAATACAATGACATAATGAAATATAAAATAGTATGCTTGTTAATAATAATGGAGGCAAGCCTCAAATTCAAGTCAGTCTTCACTCCCAAGCCCACGGTGAGGTCCCGGCGTACCTGCACCTCCCTAATGCGTGGTGATGATGATAATGCCTTCTTTCTGTGTTCCCTTTGTTTACTTGATCTAATAGGAAGAAGAGACTGGCACAACTTTGCCAACAAACCGCCTGCTTCTCCCTGCTGTGGCAGATCTACAGCTTAGATCATTTTTTTCACTACAAGTCCTTTGGCCTGCTGGCAGCTATGATGCAGGTGAATACTGCACTGGAAACTCAAGACAACTTCCAGGTAGGGGACTTCTGAAGCTGCTTTTTACTTTTCTGAATCTTACTGGGAGGGAAGAGCCTCATGAGAGTCAGCTGGGATTCAAGATCATGAGGACATGATGAAAGTCATTCTAACCAGGAGTTCTCGAAACGTTTTGACTCCAAAAATCTCTTCAAAGTTACTGGAGATCCCAAGTAGCTTTTGTTTGCGTGGATTGTATCTATTGATGCTATCATATAAAAAAACAGAAACAGAAAATTTAAAAATATTTATTTTAAAGTAGAAACAATAAACCAATTACATATTAACAAACGTTTTCAGTTTAAAAAAAACAAAAATCTTGGCCAGGCTTGGTGGCTCAGCCTGTAATCCCAGCCCTTTGGGAGGCCAAGGCAAGTGGATTGCCTGAGCCTGCGGGTTCGAGAACCACCCGGGCAACTTGGCAAGACCTCATCTCTACAATAAATCAAAAAATTAGCTGGCCGTAGTAATGCGCCTGTAGTTCTGGCTACTTGGAAGGCTGAGGCAGAAGGATCGCTGGAGCCCAGCAGGGCGAGGCTGCGGTGGCTGGGAGCGTGCCACAGTCTGGGCAACAGAATGAGATTTCAACTCAAAAAAAAAAAAAAAAAACACCTATTCCCCAAACAACAAGTTTAATGGCACTGCATTAAATTTTTGCAAATGTCTTAATGTCTGACTTCACAGAGACAACTAGGGTCTCACATCTGCTTCTACCTCACTGTGTTGCAATATCACACACATTGTCTGCAGAAAACTCCACTACATACTCATAAATGAGAGTGGAAAAGAAAAATGTTAAAAGATAATTATTTTCAAAAAGAATCATAACTCATACAAATATTAAAAGTACACAGGTCAAAGATTTCATTTAACTCATTGAGTTAACTCAGAGAACAAGATGTTACAACTGGTTCCACAGAGAATCCGGTCTACAAATAGATACAAAACTAGCCTAGTCACAGGGCAATAACCATTGTGTTCCACCAAACATTGACATTTCTATGAAAAAAACCTTATCATTCACATTATTATCTGTTTTCCGTCAAACAGGCCAATGTCGTAAAATAGTCTGAAGAAACATAGAGATAACCTTGACTGAGTTAGGACACCCACAAAGTTTTTCTTTTGGCCTACTTCTAGGTCTTTCACTATTTTTCCTATCCCAAGCAATGCCTTGATATTATAAAAGCTTTGACTTTGTGTGCTCTCTGAAAGGGTTTCAGGGGCCCCTAGGGCTCCCAGGACCAATGGAGAGAACCACTAGCTTAGGTCAGAAATTGGGAAGCCTTTGATTGAATGAAGAAGACACCAGGAGACAAGATCAAGAAATTGCTAAGTTAAACCCAACTCATTTAATGAAAGCGACCTGGCTTTTTTATATATATGTTTGGGTTTCTTTGGGGGCAATAACTCCTCCCTAGAGTCATTAACAAGAATTCAGAGAAATGGCCAAGTAGCAATATAAATGGTGAAGGAACTTAATTCTAACATTAGTTCCTTTCAGTAGAACTGGGCTAGCTCTCCCAAGATACAGAAATGTTTATAAAGCCCATAGACTGATCCCTACCTATTTCCCATTCTCCTCTCCTAGCTCCCTGGACCATTAAGGAGCCACAAGTCCAACCACATCTGTCCGCTTTTGGGTCCTTAAGCACAGAAGTGCGATTCCATCTTTCACTGGATGCTCCCTCTGCTGGAATGTTCATCCTCTGATCTTACTGGGCATCCTGCTTGTCAGCTTAAAAGTCATCTCCTCAGTGAGGCCTTCTTGATCACCTAATGGAAAGTGGCCACCCATTCACTTTCCACCTCGTCACCCTATTTTAATAGGTCTTATTATCCTCCGACACTCTCTCGTTTATTCCTTCATTGGCTCATGGTTCATCCCCCTTGCTAGCCTGTAAATTCTGTGAACAGGAACCTTGTCTGCTGTCTTATTCACATCCTGAACATCTAGAACAGTGCACAATGTGAGTGCTCAACAAATACTTATTGGATGAAATACTTTCCACACTTGGGGTTAGATCCTAAAAATGGTGGCGGAGTTGGGGTGGTGGGAGGATAAAATGGGACAGCAGGTTGGAAAGGGAGTAAAAGCAATTGACTGAAGGTGGCTGGGGCTGAGGGCAGACCTGCAGAGAGCACTCCCCGGGGTGCTCAAAATCCAGTGAGGTACTCGACATACAAGAATGGAAAGGCCCAGACTGAGAGCCAAGAGAATGGCTTCCAGGACCACGCCTCTCTGCGGTGCGACCACCAGCAAGTCACATGACCTCCAAGCTTTATGTTTCCCTCCTAAAGTGACTTCATCCTCTTGGTCCAGATCCAGGAAGTCCTAGGCTTTACAGCAGCTGTGGGGTTTTCATGTGCCGCTAATTCTTTCACCTCCACCACTGCTGCTGGCTTCCCTCCCCGTCTGCTAGCAGTATCTGAAGCGTGTTCCAAACCAGAAGTAAGCGAATTTTCTAAGACTGACCCCGTGGTCTAACAAGTACCCGGGGACCTGCCTGGAACACAGAATTCGTGAACCAGTTATTTTGTGTGATTTGAAGAATTACCGGAAAAAAGTCCCTACTCTAAAATGCTTCCCCTACCCCAATACTTCTACCAGTAGAAATTCTACATTTTTCCTGTTTGCATTTTTCACAGTAGACATAGATTCTGCTTTCTTTTTTTTATTATTGCAAATTCCTTAGAAAAAAGCTGTATATGCCCTAGAGTGCACCTTATAACTGATATTTGTAATTAACTTTTTAAAAAATTTTAAATTTTAAATATGTAGGGTACAATTCAGGGCTAGACATACAAATGTTCATTATGCAGGTACCCTTGTTGACGAGGTGTGCCTCCCCTCCTATGGCAGTTTTCCACCGCTGCCAATCCCATTCTTATAGTATTATGATATTTGTTCAAGGACCACTTATGAATAAGTACAGGGGATACTCGGTTCTTTGTTTTTGAGATAGATCACTCAGTATTATAGACTCTAAGTCCATCCAAGTTGCTGCAAAGTTCATAATTTTGTCCTTCTTTATGGCTGTGTAATATTCCATTGTGTATATGTTCCACATTTTTTTAATCCAGTTCTCTTTCAATGGGCAGCTTGGTTGGTTCCAGATTTTTGCTATTGTGAATAATGCTGCAATAAACACGCATATGCAGGTATCTTTTTCACAGAGTGATCTGAGTTCCTCCGGGTATATTCCCAGTAGGGGGATTGCGGGATCGTGTGGGAGGTCGATTTTTAGATTTTTTAGGAATCACCACACTGTTTTCCACAGAGGACGTACTAGTTTACACTCCCACCAAGAGTGAAGAAGTGTTCCCTTTTCACCGCATCCTCTTAAGCATCTGTTGTTTTTTGAGTTATTGATGATGACTATCCTGACTGGAGTTAGGTGTGGTTTTAATTTGCATTTCTTTGATGCCTAGTGAGGCTGAGCAGTTTTTCTCGTACCTGTTGGCTGCTGGTATGTCTTCTTTTGAGAAGTATTCATATATTTTGCCCACTTTGTAATGGGGCTGTTTTTTTCTTTTCAGCATGTTTGAGTTTCTTGTAGATCCTAGATGTTAGGTCTTTGATATACTGTTGGCAAATATTTTTTTCCCAGTCTGTGGGTTGTCTCCATGCTCTCTCAATGGATTCTCTGACTTTGCAGAAGCTAGTCAGTGTGATGAGGTCCCACTTGTCTATATTATCTCTTATGGCATGGGCACTTGGGGTTTTGATCAGGGATTGATTGCCAGTTCCAATTTCCATAAGAGTGTCTCCTGCATTTTCTAAGGTTCTTATAGTTTGAAGTTTTATGTTTAGGTCTTTGATCTGTTCAGAGTTGATTTTTGTGTATAGTGATAGGTATGGGGTCTTGTTTTAATCTTCTGCATGTGCTTGGCCAATTTTTCCAGTACCTCTCCCCAGTGGTTGGTGGTAGAGGCTCTGTAGAAAATGAGTTGATTGAGGAATTGAGATTTTGTTTCTGGAATCTCTATCCTGTTCCATTGGTCTATATTCCTGTTCTTGTACCAATATCAGGCTGTTTTGATTTATGTAGCTTTATAATAAAGTTTAAAGTCTGGGAATGTGATACCTCTCACTTTTTTTTTGTTTGTTTGTTTGTTTGGCTGAGGATTGTTTTAGCTATTTGTGGTGGTTTATGTTTCCATATGAATTTCTGCATCGTCATTTCCAGGTCTGAGAAGAATGACATTGATAATTTAATGAGTATTGCATTGAATCTGTAGATTGCCTTTCATGGGATGGACATCTTAACAATATTGATTCTTCCAATCCATTAGCATGGAATATTTTTCCATTTGTTTGTGTCATCTTTGATTTCTTTGAGCAGTGTTTTGTAGTTTTTGTTGTAAAGGTCTTTGACTTCTCTGGTTAGGAAGATGTCAAGGTATTTATTTTGTTGTGGCTATTGTGAATGGGATTGTGCTTTTCATTTGGGTTTCTGTTTGTTTATTGTTGGTAATGAACAGGAATGCAACTGTCTTTTGCACATTTATTTTATACCCTGAGACTTTGTCAAAGTCCTTTATCAGGGCAATGAGGTTTTTACAGATTCTCTTGGGTTTTTGAGGTATTGAATCATGTTGTCTGCAGAAAAGGATAACTTAACTTCCTCTTTTCCTATTTGGATACCCCTGATTTCCTTCTCTTGTCTGATTGCTCTAGCTAAGACTTCCAATAATATGTTGAAGAGGAGGGTGAGAGTGAACATCCTGTCTTGTTCTGGTTTTCAAGGGAAATGGTTCCTATTTGTGTCTGCTTAGCAGTATGTTGGCTGTGAGTTTCTCATAGATGGCTCTTACTATTTTGACATATGTTCCATCTATGCCTAGATGTTCAAGGGTTTTTATCAAGAAGGGGTGCTGGATTTTATCAAAAGCTTTTTCCATGTCTAATAATATAATCATGTGGTTTTTATTTTTTACATCTGTTGATATATTTAATTATGTTTATGATCTTGCAGATGTTGAACCAGCCCTGCATCTAGGGGATAAAGCCTACTTGGTCATGGTGGCTGATTTTTGAGATGTGTTGTTGGATCCAGTTTGCTAGAGTCTTGTTGAGAATTTTAGCATCTATGTTCATCAAGGATATTGGCCTGTAGTCCTCTTTCTTTGTTGGATCTTTACTTGGTTTGGGTATCACTGTGATGTTAGCTTCATAAAATGATTTGGGAAGATTTCCATCTTTCTCAATTGCCTGGAATACTTTCAATAGGATTGGTATCAGCTCCTCCTTGTAAGTTTTATAGAATTCTGCTGGAAAACCATCTGGTCCAGAGCCTTATTTTGTAGGTAGTTTTCTTATGACATAGTCAATTTCCTGGGTTGTTATTGGTCTATTTAGGGTCTCGAGTTCTTCTTGTTTCAATCTGGGGAGGTTGTGTGATGTAAGAAAGTTCTTCATTTCATTTAGGTTTTCGAGTTTGTTTCCATACAGGTGTACATAGTAATCTCTGATAATCTTTTGTATTTTTTGGGTCAGTTGTGACTTCATCTTTTGCAGTTCTAATTGTGTGGGCTTTTTCTCTCTTTTTCTTGTTCAGTCTAGCTAGGGGTCCATCAATCTTGTTTATCCTTTCAAAGAACCAGCTTTTGGTTTTATTGATTTTTTGTATTATATTTTTGTCTTTTATGTCCCAAATTTGGGCCTTCACTTTGCTGATCTGGATTCTTCTGAAGTAGGGCTTTGGTAGTCTTGCTTTTCCAGCTTCTTTCGGTGATTTGCAAAGCTATTAACTTGTGATCTTTCCATTTTCTTCATGTGTATTCATAGAGATATGAATTCCCCTCTTACTACTGTTGTCATGGCATCCCAGAGATTTTTGGTAAGATGTTTCTTCATTTTCATTTGTTTCCAGGTATATTTTAATCTCAGTTTTGACTTCCATATTGACCTAGGAGTTGTTTAGCATCATGCTGTTTAGTGTCCATGTCTTTGTGGGTTTTGGGGGGAGTTTGTTGGCATTGATATTTATTTTTATTCCACTGTGGTCTGAGAAAACGCATGGCAGAATTTCAATCTTATGGAATTTGTTTATGCTTGATTTATGGCTGAAGATGTGGTTGATCTTAGAATACGTTCCATGTGGTGATGAGTAGAATGTATATTCCATGGTTGTTGGGTGGAGTGTTCTGTAGGTATTAAGTCCATTTGGTTAAGTGTCACCTTGAGGTTCCATAGCTCCTTGTTGATTTTTTGTCTTGATGATCTGTCTAGGGTTGTTAGTGGGGTGATTAAGTCCCCAGTTATGATAGTTTTAGAGTCAGTATCTTTTTTTGGTCTACCTAGAAGGTGCTTTATGAAAGTTGGTGCTCCTATGGCGGGTGCATATATGTTTAGGATGGATATTTCTTGTTGATGGATTGAACCTTTTATCATTATGTAGTGACCTTCCATATCTTTTTAAATTTTAGATAGCTTAATGGGTATTTTGTCTGGTATTAAGATTGTGACTCCTGTTTTCTTTTGTGTTCCTGAAATTTTGTTTTCCATTTTCTTACTTTGAGTGTCCTTTCTGGTGAGATGAGTCTCTTGGAGACAATATATTGTTGCTCCATAATATTTTATCCAATTTGTCATTCCATGTCTTTTCAGTGGTGCATTTAGTCCATTCACATTCAGGCTAATTATTGAGATGTGAGTTTATCCCTGTCATGAGTTACTTATAGAGTTTGTTGTTGTTGCTGCTGTTTGCTTGTTGTTGTCTTTCTTTTGATTTTGGGGTTGATTCATGTGTGTTTTCAATCTTTTTCCTGCATTCTTGGGAAGGGCATTGTTGTGGGGGTTTTTTGTTTGTTTTTTTCCTTTCTTCTGTGTTTAATACTTTCTTAAGTGTTTCTTGTAGAGCTGGTCTGGAGGCAGTGTAAACTCTTAGGAACTGAATGTCTGGGAAGGATTTTTTTTTTTTTTTTTTTTTGAGTTGGAGTCTCACTCTGTCACACAGGCTAGAGTGCAGTGGCACACTCACGGCCACCCCAGCATTGACCTGCTGGGCTCTGGCAATCCTGCAGCCTCATCCTTCCAAATAGCCAGAATTACAGGTGCATGCTACCATGCCTGGCTAATTTTTTTTATTTGTTGCAGAGACGAGGGCTCATCAAGTTGCCCGAGCTGGTCTCAAACCTGTGGGCTCACAAAATCCACATGCCCCAGCCTTCCAAAGTGCTGGGATTATAGACTGAGTCACCGAGTCCAGCCTGGGAAGGATTTTAATTCTCCATCACTTTCATCTTAGGTTCAGCCTCTTGAAATAGTTGCTTATCTGTGCAGGTTTTCCTCCCCACCCCCACCCCCTTTTTTAAACCTATTCTTTAATTCTGTTGCTTAGTGATGGGAGAATAACTTCTATTTCTGTTTGCTCAATCTTCTACTTCTTCCTTATGTAGATCTTCTGGCTTTGTTCAATTCTGAAGCTGGACTGGGGGTGGGGGCCTGTGCTTTTTGCAGTTTTGAGATTTAATTAAAGGGAAGCTGTGATTCAGAAGCTATCTTCAGATCCCAGTATCCACTGACAGGTATGTGGGTCCCCTGTAACCCACTTCCCACCACCTTATAATCTGTCCATGCAGTGGGGGGTGTCTGTTTGCCCCCTGAAAGCAAAATGAGATAAGAAAAAGGAAAAGAATAGAAAAAGGAAGGAGGAAGATGAAAGGAAGGTGGAGAGAGAAGAAAAAGAACAACAACAGCAACAACAACAGACAGGCATACCAACTAACGAATAAACAGATAAACAAAGACAGGGAAAGCAAAACACAAAAAGCAAAAACCTACAGTAAATCATACAAAGAACCCCCCCCTCCCGTTGGTGTATTCTCCCTCAAGAATACCCATACACAAACAGAAAATCTAAAAAACATAAATTAAAATAATAGAAAGCAAGTACAAAAACATAAGCAAAAAGAGAAAGAGAGAAGAAAAAAACAAGAATTAAAACAAAAACAAAAAAACCTTGCTCTGTGTCCATTTCCGCAACTCCATAGATTCTGCTTTCATATATATAAGAAAACTGCTTCTTTAGAAGGAATTATTTTTTCCTTACCTTTTTGTAAGTATTTATATTCTGAAGCAACTTTATCATTTTAAAGAGTTGTTTTAAAGAGTAATCAGCTTCTCTTGAATCTTCAAATTAAGTTTGAACTAGTCCTTACATTTTTTAAAGCAAACACACCAAACCACTCTTCCTTTTTTATTAAATTACAAAAATAATACATGCTTGTTATAACAAATTAAACATCATAGAGGTACATGAAGTAAAAAGGAAAGTCTCTTCTCCTTCAAATCTCCCTCCCACCCTAACAAATAGGTAACTACTGTATACATTTGGAATACATCCTTGCAGTCTTTTTACTGTGTAATCATATATCCACATATATAATCTACTACTTTTATTTTTCATAGAAATTAAAATTGTCATATTTTGTTTAAGGGCTTCAAGGGTGCAGGGCCATCAAGATTGTCCTGGGTTACTTAGTAAATCAAACCCAGTTTGATTTCTGCATCTAAGTCCATAACTGTGGTCATGTGACCAGCTCCATTTCCATACTTGCTCAACAGATACTTCCTGGCAGGCATTGAGTGATATCCCTGGGCTTTCTGTTTGGGATTCACTCTAGTCTTTCCTTCTCCGTTCTGCCATTTCAGATCATTAAGTCTTACCTGGACTACTCACTGTACCATCATCTGGCTGGCTGCCAGGTTGTGTGGTTCAAATATGAAGTCATGGCCATGGAACATATCTTCAACCTTCCCCTGAAAGGTGAAGGCATTGAAATCGTGGCCCATGTGGCTGGCACACTGGGCCACATCAAGTTCATCATGGGACACCTGGACTTGGTCATTGAATTAGGTAAGGGCTATCTAGGCAAGAAGGGACATGAAGATCCAAGTCATGCCCCACAATACACTGGAATTGTTTTCTCCCCAGGCTCTCGAGCCCACAAGATGTGGGCACTACTTCGGAACCCCAACCAACACTACGTAGTCCTCTGCAACCTTAGCAAAGCTTTCTTTCTGAAAAACAGGTATTTCTCATAACACATTTTCCAAAGTTAGGGAGCCATATGACTGAATGCTCTGGGTTCACTTTACCCTGGCTGTAGGATGGGGAAAGGACTGTGGTTTACAGGAAGATAATGCAACTGATGAGAACCACTACTTTTTTCAACAGAATTCTTTTGCATGCACCATGTCTAACCTGGTGGCTCAAGCTAGTGGCTGGAGGGGAGTCAGATGTCCTCCCTACTGTGGGGATTGGGCCTCCATACCTGCCAGGTGGAAAGAAAGAGAAAAGTCTTCTGGGGAGGCAAATACCCAAAATAGCAACCAGGAATAAAGGCCCAGGCCAATTTGGCTTGACTCTGGTCACCTTGATATAGAGGACTCATGAAAGAACTGTTGGAAAAAAGAGCCAGTTTGAAATTTAGGTTCCAGTCCTGGCAGGCTTGGAGTCCAAGAGTTGTATTTGGTTCTGAATTACTGAGCAGGGCCAAGACTAGCCCAGGACTGAACCTCCCTGAAGTCAATCCTCTCCTCTCAACTACTTTTTAAAAAAGCTGCCACCTTTTCTTTTCCATAGATACAAGAAATTGATCCAGGTGCTGGAGTGGCTATGGGAGCTTTCTATAGCCGAAGAACACATCTATAGCAAAGCATTTTTCTATTTTGTCTGCTTAGACATCATGCTCTATTCTGGTAAGTGTGGCTTTGGAATGTAAAAGAACTTGGAGGTGTGGCACCCGGGCTGGTGACACGTGGCAGCTGTCAGGCTTGGGCTTTGGGACTGCTGGGTTTCTGGCTGGGTAGACTTACAAACAAGGATGGAGAGAGCCTGGTGGAGGTAACGGTGGCACTGTCTAGCAAGGTGCCAGCATTGCAAGGGAGCCGTGAGGAGGAGAATTAAGTCTGGAGGAACCTATTGGTTAGAAGCCGCCCGGTCAACTGTCGGGTCAATTTGCACATAATGATATTGAATGACATTGTCCTACTCTGTGCCTTTTATTAGGCGTATTTCATTTTTAGTTAGGATGCACTTAGAGACTTCATGCTTAGAATGAAGGGCCGGATTGCTAATGATGAGTGTTCAGGTTGGTAGCTGTTTGTGGTTTGGAAAACAAGCTCTTTCCTGATAACCTTCAAGTGACACCAAGTAGGTCCCTTGAAGTGCACATATTAAACCAGAGGAGCCACCCTGTGTGATTTTAAAAGGGGACGTGGTTCTCACTGCCAAGGGAGGCGTGGTGGGAAGACATGGGCATTCTGAGCTGCACTACAGCTGCCTCCAGGCCCTAGAGCCAGGAAGGGTTGGTTTAAACTGCACACCTACCTGGTCTACACTATGGAATTGTCTGATAGATGCGTAGCATTCCACAGCAACCAAGGCTCAGCAAATACAGGGCAATTCAGTCACGGGCTTGTTGCAATCCACAGAACCCGCTGGATTCATAAAGTAATCAGAGACTCCTCTCCCTGCAGTGGGAAAGTCTACTGGGAGTGACTAGTTTAAAAAGATGACCTCCCTATGCCCACAAGCATATGTCACCCTTTTCTCTCTTTTAGGCTTTGTTTACAGAACCTTTGAAGAGTGTTTGGAATTCATACAGCAAAATGAAGACAACAGAATCCTCAAGTTTCAAAGTGGAATCCTCCTGGGACTGTATTCGTGTTTGGCTATCTGGTAACAATGCGTTGCATGTCGCTACATCCCCAGAGTGAAAATGTTGAATCCTAAGGAGGAGCTCTACAAAAAAATTTATTTATTTATTTATTTATTTATTTATCTATTTATTTATTTTATATGAAGTTGTGGGGTACAGTTAAGGGTTAGGTATACAATTGCATTTCATTCAGGCACCCTGTGGATATGGGGTGTTTCCCCGTTCCCAGACAGATATTTGCTACTGTTAATCCCATCTCCCTCCCCCCACCATAATTTCCCAGTACGGTCAGTCATTTTCGTATAGTATTGCATTGGATGTTTAAGGTCCATTATATGAGTGAGAACATGTGATACTCGGATCTTTGTTTCTGTGAGAGGTCACTCAGTATTATAGACTCTAGTTCCATCCAGGTTGCTGCGAAATTCATGATTTTGTTCTTTTTTATGGCTGCATAGTATTCCATTGTGTATATGTACCACATTTTTTTAATCCAGTCCTCTTTTGATGGGCAGCATGGCTGTTTCCAGGTTCTTGCTATTGTGAACAACGCTGCGATAAACATGCGTGTGCAGGTATCTTTTTTATAGAGTGATTTGTGTTCTTCAGGATATATTCCCAGTAGGGGGATTGGGGGATCATATGGGAGGTT